CCCAGGGATCCCCCAAATCCCCAGGGACCCCCATCCCCAGGGACCCCTGATCCCCAGGGATCCCCCAAATCCCCAGGGACCCCCATCCCCAGGGACCCCTGATCCCCAGAGATCCCCCAAATCCCCAGGGACCCCCATCCCCAGGGACCCCTGATCCCCAGAGATCCCCCAAATCCCCAGGGATCCCTAATCCCCAGGGATCCCCCAGTCCCAGGGACCCTCCAATCCTGAGAACCCCCTGATCTCAAGGGACCATTGTTCCTGAGAGATCCCCAGTCCCAAGGAACACCAACCCTGTGGGATTCCCCAATCCCAAGGAATCTTGACCCCAAGGAACCCCAGATCCTGAGGGACCCCAGTCCTAAGAGACCCCCAATCCAGAGGGTCTCTGATCCCAAAGGACCCCCAATCCTAATGAACCCCAGTCCCGAGGGAACCCCCCAATGCCAAGGCACTCCCATTCCCGAGGGACCCCGATTCCCAAAGGATGGGGCGGGTCAGGACGCCCAGCTCCTCCCACGGGGCTCGGCCCATCCCGGGGGTCGCGGTGGGGATGCGGTGGCTGGGTGGGGCCCCCGCGTGCGGGATGGGGGTGCCGGGGGTCCCCGGGTGCCTCACGCCCTGTCCCGCAGGCCAAGCAGGAGCAGGCGCAGGGCCCGGCGCTGTGCGGGCGGGTGTCGTTCCCGTGCCCCCCGGGGCAGGGCCAGGCGCACCGGCTGCTGCTCACCCCGGACCTGCTGCAGCACCTCCGCCAACACTTCGTCGCCTGAGAGTCCCCCGGAACGGGATGAGGGTCCCCTGCGCCCCCCCCCGCCCCCCGGGCACCCCCACTGCCCCCCCCTCGGCTTCACTCGCGGGTGGAGCCGGAGCCGCTTCCCCCGGGGGGATCCGGGACCCCCCCTGCTGCTCTCAGACACTACAGACCCCGGGACCCCCCGGCCTGGGCCGTCCCGGGGGGGCCGGAGCCCCCCGCGCCCCCCTGTGCCCCCGGGCCGGGGATGCGACCCCCCCGCGCTCCTGCTCTCCAATAAAATGCCCTGAACCTGAACCCGCCCGCGGACCCTGCGCCGGCACTGGGGGGGACACGGCGGGGACGAGGGTTCGCAGCACACCGGGGGTCCCAGGAGGGGTCCGAGAAGGGCACTGGGGGGCCCGCGATGGGAGCGGGGGACAGTGGGGGCTCCCAGCAGGGTCACTGGGGGGCACAGGGGAATACTGGGGGAACACGGAGGGGTCCGAGGGGGGCACAGGGAGACCCGGAGTGGGACCAGGGCAGCTCTGGCTGTCCCGGGATGGGACCGGGGACAGTTGTGGGGTCCCGAGTGGGGCACTGGGGACACACTTGGGGGCTCATCTGGGGTCCCATTTAGGGTCCCAGGGCTGACACTGGGGACACATTGGGGGTCCCATTTGGGGGGCGCGGTCCCGCCACGTGCGGCCGCGCGCGCATGGAACAGCGCGGGAAGGGGCGGGGCTGGCGCGGGCGGCGGCTCCCATTGGCCCACGCGCAGGAAAGGGCGGGACGAAACGCCTCTCCCC